GGATGGATGTATGTATGTAATAACGCTATCCGGCTACTCTGAGCTATTTTTAGATGTTTGTGTTTTTGTTATGAATGGAAAGCTGTGTGTGTGTATATGAGTGTGTGTGTATGTATATATGTATGTATGTATGTATGTATGCATGTATGTATGTATGTGTGTATGTAAGAATGTTTGTATGTATGTACATGTATATATGTATGAATGGGAGAGCTCAGTTGAACCAATTCATCGAGAAATCCTCATAGGAGGAGTGTCCGTCGACAAATGTTTCGGCCCATAACAAACTCCTTACATCGCGGGACCGGGCCACACTCGTTGATCCCTCGAACGCTTCTCCAAGGCTGTTGCTTTTTCAGCAGTGTTGATCTGCTATTTATACCAAAATCAGTTTTATATTTCCATACGAAGTCATATCACTGGAGCCATGGCTTGCTAACTCAGCAGACACACCTTTCTATTTCTGTTTAGCCACAAGACGAAGTTTGCTCTGCGCTACTGATTTTTTTTTCAGGCAGGCTGTACCTTTTCTGCCTGACAGTCCCAGCTCTTTGAGTAGCGTCTACAACAATGCAACAACTTGCAACAACTCCAACAACGAGTGAGTAAGCGAGTGAGTAACCTTACTTGGTTAAATCTTGAATTAGCTATTCATACCTTGCAGTTCTTAAATCGTGGCTACTGAGCGTGTTATCTTCGTACGACAGAGTTAGTTCAATGACGATAACTGGAGATGTATTCTCAAATGCCACCAACACCATGTCGGGTCTCATGTTTGTTTCTTTTGTCTCATGTAAGTTGGAGAATTTCGTTACAAGAATTCTATAGCAGGTCTTTTTTGGACGTCCTACCTCGGGGAACCGGGACTCTGGACGCAAAAGGAAGATTGATTGATTGATTGATTGGTTGATTGATTGATTGATTGATTGATTGATTGATTGATTGATTTTTTGGACAGCTGGCCTCGTCTTGCAAGCAGCCTGGTTTGTAGATATAAGAAAAACCAGAAGAAAAACATGAAGAAGTGTGGATTAGATACAGAAACATTTTGAAATAAAGCTCAGTAGCTTACGGATGGAGATCGAACCCACAGGGAGCGGTTTTCGTCTCTGGTTGGCAAAAGGAAAGACAAAAACAGGGGGCCCAGGGTGGAAACAGGGGACATAGGGGTGTGGGTTTGAAAAATCCCAAAATGTCGATGTTTGTTTAGAGTTGGAATTTTTGCTCACATGAAGTCACATTAATGACCCTATTCCTCGTTCAAGAACATGCAATCTATTTTGCATTTATGTATGATTGTATGTTTGTATAATTGTATGAAAATATGAATGTATGTTTGCAAGTTTGTATTATTGTTTGTATGTATGTTTGTATGACTGTATGTTTGTGTGTTTGTATGATTATATGTTTGTATAATTGTATAAATATATGATTATATGTTTGCAAGTTTGTATTATTGTGTGTATGTATGATTGTATGATTGAATGATTTTATGATTGTATGATTGTATGTTTGTATGATTGAATGACTGTATGTTTGCATGTTTGAATGTTTGCATGTTTGCATGTTTGTATGTTTGTATAATTGTATGTTTGTATGTATGTAGGACGATCGGTCGAATGTGGCAGAGTAACATATGTTTGAAAATCAGACTCCAAGACCGTACCTATTTTGCTGGTCAGATATTTTAAATAATACAATGTTAAATCAAAAATAATTAAATAGTTAGATGATTAATTAATTAATTAATTAATTAATTAATTAATAAGGATGACTAATTAGTTATTTTACATAATCTAATTGGATGATTGGTTGTTTAGCTAATTGATTACATATTTAATAAGGGTAGTTGTTGGTCTTTTGATGAATTTTTGTTGTCTAATTGTAAATATTAAAAGAACGCTTAATTATAAATCTTTGATGTTCAAGTTGTGCTTTTAAATAAACTGGAAACAACAACAACATTAACAATAACGAAAAAGAACAACAACATTGGCAACAATAACAACAAAGAATAAAAACATCAACAACAACAACATCAACACGACTACATCAACAACAACAACATCAACAACAACAACAACAACAACAACATCAACAGCAATTTCAACATCATCAGCAGTAACAACATCAACAATAATAATAGCAAAGAATAGAAATCTCAACAACAACAATAAAAACAAACATTAAAAACATCATCAACAACAAGAACCACAACAACGACAAAATGGCACCTAAGAACGAGCAAAACAAAGAACAAGCTTATCCTCTCGAACCAAATTATCATGTTTCTATGGAAACAGACAACAACAACAAAAACAACATCATCAACAACAACAATAACAACAACACTAATAATAACAACCACAAATTCACCAATAATAACAACCACCAACTTGAGAACAACAACATCAACAAAGTTAATGACAACTACAACGATTTTGTATTCCGCAAATTCAACAACAACAACAACAACCAAAACAACAACAACAACCGCAGATATAGCAACAACAACAACAACAAAGAAACTTTAAGTGTCAAAAACATCAACAACAACAGTGGTGGCGACAGTGGTGGCGATGCTAGTAGCACTCTGGATAAATGGCTCGGTGGTATAGCTACAGCCACTTCATGTAAGATGGATGGATGGGGAAAATGAATGAATGAATTTGAAAATGAGAAAATGAATAAATAAATAAATAAATAAATTTATGGATGGATGGATGAATGAACGAAGAAATGAATGAATGATTGATTAATTGATTGAAGTTTGTGACGATTAAATGAATGGATGAATTGTCAAATAATGAAAAAAACCCAGTTTTCGAATGAATGCATGAATTAATGAACAATTGAATAAACAAATGAATGAATAAATGGAAGAACGAATGATTGAATGAGTGAATGAATGAAGGATCGAATGATTAAATGAAGGAATAAATGAAAAAAAAATCATTGAATCATGAATACAAAGGAATAAAATCAAAACCCGTCAAACTATAAATATAAAAGCACTTCTGATTTAAACAACCGCCAGATAGATCCTTCTTATCCTAAAGATAAAAATTGATTTTATTCAAATCTCTCCTCCTCCCTCTCTCTCTCTCTCTCTCTCTCTCTCTCTCTCTCTCTTTCACACACACACACACATATATAACACACACACACACACACATATATATATATATGTCATTAATAATAGATATATATCACATTTGTTAACGGTAATCAAATATTACATTGCCAAATATCGGCTTTGAAATGTCTTGCCGAAAATCTTAAGACTTGGATAAAGCAATGTTCAATTTTTTACTAATAAAATAATAATTGAATAATTTATATATATATATATATAATTAAAATAATTAAATAATATAAATATATAATTATAAAAATAATTACAGTAAATCTGGTATTGTTTTATAATTGTAGGAGTAGAACATTTATGAAATTGTCAGATAGCATTATTCATAACTTCTATCAGTCTTCCTTACTCTCCTTCATTTCGTTCATTTATTCATTCAGTCATTCATTCATTCGTTCGTTCGTTTGTTCATTCGTTCGTTCATTCATTCGTTCGTTCATCCTTTCAGTCATTCATTCGTTCGTTCAGTTTGTTCGTCCAACCGTTCAATTATAGATAACAAATTATTACACCACAATGAGGATAAAACTGATATATAATAATAATTATAATAATAATAATAATAAAAATAATTATTATAATAATAAGAAATAATAATAATAATAAATAATAATAATAATAATAATAATAATAATGGTAAGATGTTCCCAATCGCTGATGATAGAAGTGTGGTGTTCTCAAGTTTGAATTTTTCGTTCTTTCATTCATTCATTTTTTTTTCGTTCATTCGTTCTTCGGTTCATTCCATCATTCATTCGTTCGTTTGTTTATGGATAGTTTTTGATTGATGGATGGATGGAGTGATAGAAGAAGAGTGATCTGAATGAATGGATGAATGAATGAATGGATGGATGGATGGATGGATGGACGGATAGATGGATGGATAGATGGATGGATGGATGGATACTTGGATGGATTCACACATTCATTCACACACGCAGTGCAGATATGAGCAATCCTGCAGTCTTTCCTTAATTAATTAATTCATTCATTTATTCATTCATTCATTCATTCATTCATTAACTCACTCACTCACTCACTCACTCACTCACTCACTCACTCACTCACTCACTCACTCACTCACTCACTCACCCACTCACTCACTCACTCACTCACTCACTCACTCACTCACTCACTCACTCACTCACTCACTCACTCACTCACTCACTCACTCACTCACTCACTCACTCACTCACTCACTCACTCACTCACTCACTCACTCACTCATTCACTCATTCATTCATTCACTCATTCATTCACTCACTCATTCATTCCTTCATTCCTTCAGTGCCGATGTGGGCTATTCTGCTTCTCTGCTCCCTCATGATCGTCTTCCTCATCTGCTGCTGCTGCTGTTGCTATCGCAAGTGCATGGGAACCTGCAAGAAGAAAAAGGCAGCCAGCCAACCAAGACAAGGTTTGCTGGATGGATGAATGAATGAATGGATGGATGGATGGGTGGATGGATGGATGGATGGATGGATGGATGGATGGATGGATGGAGGAATGGATGGATGGATGGATGGATGGATGGATGGATGGATGGATGGATGGAGGAATGGAGGAATGGATGGATGGATGGATGGATGGATGGATGGATGGATGGATGGATGGATGGATGGATGGAGGAATGGATGGATGGATGGATGGATGGATGGATGGATGGATGGATGGATGGATGGATGGATGAATGAATGAATGAATGAATGAATGAATAAATAAATGAATGAATGAATGAATAAATGAATGAATTTTTTCAAAAACAGGAAAA